CCATGTTGGCCAGGATGGTCTCGATCTCTTGACCTCATGATCTGCCTGCCTTGGCCTCCCAAAGAGCTGGGATTACAGGCATGAGCCACCGTGCCTGGCCCCTAAAGAGTCTCTTATACCACCTCTGCTTACACCTCATTGGCCAGAACTTAACCACATGGTCATGCCTAGCAGCAAAGGCGGCTAGAAAATACAGCCTTATGCCTGCTACTTGGGAGGCTGAGGCTGAGGAATGGCTTGAACCCAGGAGGTGGAGATTGTAGTGAGCCAAGACTGCATCACTGCATTCCAGCCTAGGTGACGAGTGAGACTTCATCTAAAAAAAAAAAATATATATATATATATATGTATATAATATAATATATATATTTATAAATAATTATATATATAATATATAATATATATATGTTTTATATTATATATAGTATATATATTGTATTATATATTATTTAATATATATAATGTATAAATAATATATAATACAATATATATTATATATAATATAGTATATATAATAATATATAGTATACTATATATACTATATATAATATAGTATATTATATATATTATATAATATATATAATATATTATTATATATAATATACATAATATATAACGCATATATAATATATATGGCTGTGTTAATGCTGGGCTGACAGTCCCACAGTTTTGACTCCCAAACGGTCCCAGGCCCCTTTATAGCTGTGCTCAGGCATTGGGAAAAGGAGGTGATGAATGAGGTGAGGTGCTTCCAAAGCCTGCCAGAGCATGTGACAAGGCTGCAGTGGACTGGGGCTCGGGTCCCAGTCAGTAAGCTGGGATGGTGACCTGGCCTGAGATGAAGTGTGCAGCGCTGATTCACAGGCAGGTGACATTTATAGAAAAGATTAGGCACCTCCCAGGCTGAACACTGTCATTAAGCTCATCTACCCTCACCCTTGGCCTCTACACTCCTCGTCAGAGCTGGGGGACAGGGGTGGAAGGGTGACCTTCCAACATCCTCACCCATCTACAGAAGAAAGTAACTCAGGGAGCTGCTGGACCAAACAGACAGCTTTCCTCAGCCCAGTGCTCCTGATGGGGCCTCCCGTCCCCAGACCTGCCCCGCTTCTGCCTTTGTCATGTCCCCCTGTTCCCTTCCTGTTGCCTCACCATCCTCTCCCCACCCCATCATCACTGGCTCCAGGGAACTCTGGCCCAAGAGAGGCCAGCTGGCCCAAAGCACCTGAAATGTTGGCAAAGGACAGAGTCCTTGGCAGAGTCCCTGTGGAGGGTCAGGCCGGGCCATGGCGGCTCCAAGTGCAGACAATGGAGAGAGCCCTAGAGATTCAGGCTCCAAGCTGCCCTGTGGCCTGGCACACCAGCCTGGCTCCTTCTGCCCTGTCCAACCTATATCCATGTTGAACACAGGCTGGCTTCTTGGGGGGATAGGGACAAGGAAAAGGAAAGGAGAGGAGAGAATGGGAGAAAGAAGTTGGAGAGGAAGAGAGAGAAAAGGGCAAGAGAAACTTGATCAAGGAAATTTTAAAACCCAACAGAGGTCCGGGCACGATGGCTCATGCCTGTAATCCCAGCGCTTTGGGAGCTGAGGCAGGCAGATCACCTGAGGTCAGGAGTTCGAAAACAGCCTGACCAACATGGATAAACCCCATCTCTACTAAAAATACAAAAATATTACCCAGGTGTGGTGGCAGATGCCTGTAATCCCAGCTACGCCAGAGGCTGGGTCAGTGGAATTGCTTGAACCCAGGAAGTAGAGGTTGCAGTGAGCTGAGATCGAGCCATTGCAGTCCAGCCTGGGCAACAAGAGCAAAACTCCATCTCAATAATAATAATAAAAAAAAAAACCACCCAACAGAGATGAAGAGAATGGAGGAGGAAGGAAACACCAGAAAACAAAAAGTTTTTTTTTTTTTTTTTGAGACAGAGTCTTCCTCTGTTGCCCAGGCTGGAGTGCAGTGACTTAGCCTCGACTCACTGCAGGCTCGACCTCGGGCTCAAGCAATCCTCCCACCTCAGCCTCCCCACCACACCTGGCTTTTTTTTTATTTTTATTTTTTGGCAGATATGGGGTTTTGACATGTTGCCCAAGCTGGTCTCAAATTCCTGAGCTCAAGCAATCCACCTGCCTCGGCCTCCCAAAGTGCTGGGATTACAGGCATATGAACCACTGCTCCCACACTGACAGAGTTTTTTGTTTTGGTTTTGTGTTTTTAGTTCTTTTTTTTTGGAGATGGAATCTTGACCTGTCACCGAGACTGCAGTGTAATGGCAAGATCTCAGCTCACTACAACCTCTGCCTCCCAGGTTCAAGTGATTCTCCTGCCTCAGCCTCCCAAGTAACTGGGACTACAGGTGAACACAGCCACACCTGGCTAATTTTTTGTATTTTAGTAGAGACGGGTTTCCACCATGTTGCCCAGGCTGGCCTCGAACTCCTGAGCTCAGGCAATCCACCCCCCTCAGCCTCCCGAAGTGCTAGGATTACAGGCATGAGCCACCTCGCCCAGCTTTGTTTTGTGGTTTTTTTGTTTGTTTGTTTTGGTTTGGTTTTGGTTTTGAGATGGAGTCTTGCTCGGTTGGCCAGGCTGGAGTGCAATGGCGCAGTC